AGTCAGATACTTGGAGTTGGTTCATCTCTGCCCTGGTGCAGGGACCAGGCGCGGGAAGGCGCATGTTCTTGTCCTTTGCGATGAGTGACCTTACAGAGGCCACGACAGTGGAGCTCTGGCCACGGTGGCCTCTCTTAGTTTTTAAGCTGCACAGTTTCTATCTGTTTCTGATGCAGCCTCTAATGGCCCCCGAGGGGTGAAGGCGGCTGGTCTCGGCTCTCCATGCACTAGCTACGTGTTTCAATCTGCACATTATTTCAGCTGATGTCTGTCTTTGCAGTTTGAGCAGGTGAGGAACATGCATGCAGTCAATTACTATTGCTATGCTTACTAAGCCAACAGTGATGGTTGTGTTTAATCCCATGAGTCCAGGTCTAGTGTCTGCAGAGCTTTTGAACTAAATCAGCTTAAAATCTTAGGGTGTGATGTTAAACCAAGGCAGCTTTCCTATGTAAACAAGCCATTACGGCTGCTTTGCAGCTTGGAGCAGTGACCGCACAGTGCTCAGTAAGTTATGCTCTGAGGAGAAAAAGTGAGGCAGGTGGACTGTCTTTTGGGAAGATGTTCTTGAGAAATGCATATATTATGAGCGACTGGGGCTTCCTGGAAAAATCACAGCTCGGGAATATAGCTCTTCTAACGTGCGCTTTCTTTGCAAAGACAAGAAGCAGATGAGTGGTTGGCAGGATCTTGCTTGGGGGAGTTCTAGTTAAAAAGCTTAACCAACATTGTACTTCAGTGTGTGTGTTCTCAATTACAATACTAATATTTTTCCACTCGGGTAGACTCTTATTGCAGGAGGCTCCAAAATGCCGTGCATCAGTTGCACACAAATGAGTTGACTGAAGTTCCAGCCATCTCTGGGGCAGAATTATTTACCCACAGCACTTTGCATCTTAAAAGAAGGAAAGGAGACTGAGAGATTTAAGCCTGATGAGTTGCTTCTAATTTCACTGGGCCACCAATTAAAACAATGGCAGTGCTCCTTCTCCCATACCACAGACACTTGTCTCTGTGCAAAAAGTGATGTTTGTCATAACAGCTACAGAGAAGCCTTTAATTAGTTTATTTGTGCTCAGATTCAAACTGAGACCTAATAATTCTGCCAGTTACTTTCTTTACTGCAAGTGCCAGTTTCCAGCCTTCGAGGAGCCCACACGTGCATCTGTCAGCTTCTCTTCACATATATCCAAGAGTAGGAAAATTTAACTTGCTGTTGAGAAAATCAAGTTGAATGAAGGAGCAACTTTGACTCAGGCTGGCTTGTTGAGTTTTCTGGATTTCTTGGGGGCTATTACCTAGAGGATAGCAATGAATACTCAGATGATAATGCAAACCATTACTGCCTCTGACCAAAGCCCGTCTCTTGAACTTGCCACCGTAAAGTTGTGTCGGGTCATTAAGCTGCAACTGAAGCATCCCTTTCTCTTCCCTTGCTATTACGCTTCACACTCTGCAACTGGATCCTGATCTTTCCTGGCCATGTTTTTCTGTGGTGGTAGGTGTGAAGTACAGAGCCCTACAGCTGTGTCTACACTGTGGGGGTGAGGGGTAGTCCTCAGGCACTTATCCTGCCTGTGCAAGTAGCTTGCAGTCCTCTCTTTCTGTAGTTCTTCCTGCAAGTGGTGTGACTCCCATTAGGAACAGTAGCCTGGATCAGGGATAGCTGACCCTGTGTCCACGATATTCTCTAGTCAGTATCTGAGCATTCATGTTTTGTTTCACAGTGCCAGTCTGAGTGCTTCTACCACTTCTCTACCTCTCCTTGACCTTACGGCTGAACAGATTAATTCACAGCCAGTGCACTCATTTCACAGAACCTGAAATAGTCTGCTGCTGAGAAATAGTTCTGTCTGTAGTTTTCTTTTTTATTTGTTTCTTGTCTTGTGGCCAAGAGGAGATACCTTATGAGCAACATAAGCCTCTTGGGATCGAGGCTTGGGATATAGTATTCCACAAACTGCCTTTCCCATCTCAGTGTGTGCTGAGTCGTCTTCCTCTTTCTTCTCTTCTTCTTCCAAGCCTGTTAAACGAGAGAGAGAGAAGCCCTCTTCCCCTTTCGGCCAGGATGCTGTTCAGCCAGAGCACATGAGCACATACTGCCAGATTGCTAACATATGGGCAGAAGGCTCAGCCAAAGTTTTGAGAGGCTCAGCCCTTGGCAGCTCGTTCCACACTTTCCTGTCTCTACATTCAGGAAATGAAGTCAGAGTGTTGATATAAAACAGGCTGGACTGAAAACTGAGAAGCTGGAAAGACTGAAGTGGGGACTTGAAGGGGGGAGGTGTGGGGAGATGGAGAGCTGCAGGGGCTCCTTGTACTGTGTGTTGCCCTGCAAAATGCATGGACTGGGGAGTTGTTGCCTTGCACCAGTGTCCTCCCTTTGATTGCTCTTGCTGCCTCAGAGTCAGAGTCAGAGAACTGAAACTTTATGCTAGCAGACAGATGTACGGGTCTTTCCTCTGGTACGTGGAAAGATCAGCACGCAGAGATAGCGTTGCCTTGATCGCAGAGGAGCATTTATGCAAGGGCTCTGAAGGGGTGAAAGACAAAACCACTCTGACGAAGAGCATGTTTTTCCACATCTGGGACATGGGGTGCCCTTATCATTTGACTCTTTTTCTGAGTGACTTTATTGCTAAATTGCTATGGAACGATGTGGTTCTAACACTGGGGAATAACTTTTCCCAGATAGCTTCCACATCAGTTATTTCTGACTAGCCCAGAGACCCTGTCAGAGGGGTATGAAGGGAGTTCCAGCTGAGTGAGGTGCCGGTGGGATGGGCCAGCTTGCCTAGGGGCTCAGCAGCAGGCGTGCTGCACTTCTCGCACGCTAGTTCAGCCTAACCCAGCACGATAACGCCTGAAAGTAATCGAAAGCTGGAGCCGAAGACTTCTCTTAGCCCAGTGTCTTCAGTGGAAGAGGGTGGGGGATTTGGTAGCTACACAAGTGATATCTTGCTGTATTTTTCTAGATACTGGTTTCTAGGATGCCCTTGTTATGTAAATATTGTAACGGACCAGAGTGGTTTGATCTTAAGGGCATGTCTGAGCTGTATAGGGCTTGGTATCCTTGGCTCAAGTCAATTTAGCTGAGACTTGGGAGGGCTGGACTTGCCATCCTCTGAGTGTTTGAGCTCAGCACCTTTGCCATCCTTATCTGCCGCTCTGCCCTGCCTTTCTCTTCTAGCTAGATTTTTAGGATCTTTGCTCACTGACAGTCTTTCCTTTGCCTTCTCATTTCCCCTGGGTGCAATCACGTTTTGTTGTTTCCAGCCAAGAGAGCTTTACAGACATCCTAGACGCTCGGAAGGGGACAGTCACGCATGCACAAAGGAGCGTGCTGGGCTTCCACCGCAGTCTTTCTGCCTTTTGGAGATCAGTGTGATGGCTCCCTCTTTTGTTGTTTTGGGGTATAATATGCAGCTGGGAAGTGGATTTTTAAAATGGGGACCTTAAACCAAACTCACTTCTGTTAATTTGCAGTAGATCCAGATTTGAAACTAAGGGGGAGAAAACGACTTCTAGTTTAGTTTCCAGATGTAAATGTCAAAATTAAGATCAAGTCTGTGTCTTTTTAAGAGGGCACCTAGGACTGAAAATGTTGGATTTGGTTTTGGGCACCATATCCTCCTCCTATATGTTTGTTTGGAGGTATCAGATAGGGACCAAACCTAAAGGCTGTGGATGCTGTTCCTCTGAAAAATGGCTCCTTAGAGATGTTGAGACTAGTCGCTTCTGGAATTTTAGACTTTTTAGATTTTAACATTCACCAGGTGGTAAAGTGCCTATTTTGCTTGAGCCTTCTGACTGCTCAGAGCATGACGTTCTCATTAGTGAGGGCAGTTATTTGATTATTTTCAACATAGGAGGCCTTTAGGCAACCTTACAGTATCCTGTGTAATTACAATCAGAGCTGCTCTTTGATTTCCTGATGCGTATTTATTCTTGCTTGATAATACTTTATTGCTTATGGCGAACCGCTTTAGAGCGTGGGATAGTGATAGGATAGAGCGTGGCAGTCAGTTCAGAGATGAATTTAAATTGATATAGTCCTTAACTTCTGTGTCAAATCAGTTTCTGTATCAAGTGACTGGCTCTCCTTGGACCCTGAACATCGATTTTTAATAATGAAAATAAGACACTGAAGAGATGACAGTGTGGCAGTGAGAGCGGTGTGGCATACTGACTTGAGGTAATAGGACTCATGCTGAGAGCCCTTCTTGGTGCCTGGGCCCTCGAGTGGGTCATAATGTGGAGCAAGCAATAAACCTCCTCATGGGCTGTTGGAGCAGGGCCAGCACGTCCCCCACTGGCCAAGCCTTGAGGAAGTGCCACAGCAGTCGTGGGAGGCCCGTTTGCAAGGGTGTTTAGGAGGAGTGGCCCTTGGGCTGCTTCCCCAAGGGGAGAGGTGAAGCTGAAGGTGCTCTGTTTGGGGATATATTTGTGGGTTTTGTTGGTTTTGTGGTTTTTTTCTTTTTTTTTGGGGGGGGGGGGGAGGAGGGAGGTGTCCAGCTCTGTGGCCTGATGTATGAAGGGTAACAGGAAAACTAGTCCCTTGTACCTCCTCTGACCAGCTCCTCAGCGAGACAGCACAGCAGGGCTGTGTTAGTGTCCTCCTGAGAGCAGGTATGAGGAACCTTTCTCAGATGGACGTGCTCTGCATGTCAAACAGCCCATGAGGGCCTTGGTGATGACTGATCCCTTCCTAGGAAGAAGGAGCCAAGTGGTGAGGACCTAAACGTTGACTGCGAAGTGGGAGAATTGGGACAGAGTGCCCTGCTGCTGACTTTCACCTGGAGGAGTTATTGGGGCAGTTATTGGGCCATGGCCCAAAAGTGGTCAGGACAGGCAAACCTTGTCTTTTTTAGAGGTCCCTTCTTCTGACTAACTTATGGCATTCCCAACTGGGAATGCCTCCCCAGCGGTGATATGGGATCTGTGCTGACTGAATAGGGACTTTGGAGCAGTGAGTGACTTGTTACTGATGCCCTTTTCAGGAGAAGGAGAAGAAGTATATGCTACCGGTGGACAACCTGAAACTGCGAGATGTTGAGAAGGGGTTTATGTCCAGCAAACACATCTTTGCTCTCTTCAACACTGAACAGAGGTGCGCTAACATGTCCAAACACACCAAGCTATCAAAGCTAGAGATAAGATTTTTTATTTTTTTTTAATTAGATGGGAGGGAGTCTAAGGAGGATGTGTATATCCTTTAAGACTGATCATTAGAAGGAGGCCTTATTAAGAGAGGTCTGGCTTCATTTCTTTTGGTATTACGGCTGTGTGCCATTTTCTTTCTCCACCAAAGCATGCTCTGCTGTGTGACCCTAGTTCTCAGCTATTTGGTGTGGTAACCTGGGGCTGTCCGTGGCTGGAATATGTATTTATAATCCAACATTACTTTTTTTTTTTCCCCCCCTCCTCTTCAGTGAGTGAATAGGGAAAGCCATAGGAGACAGGGGACTCGGGTTGGTTGGAGAAGTCAATAGTGAGTTGACTCACTGTTCAACTCACTGTTGAAAGGGAGATCTCTTTCAGGCCCCATCAAATCGGTGTTTTCGGGACAGTGCTGGAGTCTGGAGGGGAAACTGAGCAGTGGCAGTCGGGCGTGCTCATGAAAAATGAATTTCCTTTCCCCTGTGCAGGGCCATCATGAAGGTAGTCTACGGAAGGGACTGAAAATGTATCTGCCTTAAAATGATAGGAAGATAGACTGGTCACTTAACGTCTTTGTTAAATATGGGCAAATACCTGTTTTGCTATGGAGAAGGGTAAAATGTTTGTCTTCCAGGAATGTTTACAAGGACTACCGGCAGCTGGAGCTGGCCTGTGAGACCCAGGAGGAGGTGGATAGCTGGAAGGCTTCCTTCCTTCGTGCGGGAGTCTACCCAGAGCGTGTTGGGGTAGGTTACAGTCATAGTAACAGGATGGGAAGGAACAGAGAACGCATCTCAGGAAGGATGACTAACCTGCATCCTCTTGAGTTTAAAAATAAGCCTCTGAGGGTTTTGTCTCTTTCCTGGGCTGGGGAAGAAATCCTGGAACAAATCTAAATTTTTGGTATGTGCTGATGCTTCCTTTGAGGAAACTTGGAATAATAAAACTGGCAACTTCAAAGGGGAGAGAAAGTAGGCAAAGACTGCCTCGATGAACCCTTCTAGCTCTCTTGTTCTGCTGGCAATAAAACTCAGAGGTTTACTGGGGGTGGTGGTCATATCCCAGCATAAGGAGGGTGTTTACCCACCTCACTAGTAGGTGGTTTGTGTCTGCTGAGCAAAGACACCATTCCTTCTCAGCACTGTTACTGTACAGCCAGGTTAAGAGCCTCCCAGCTTTTTCAGCAGTTGTTTTCCTGTTTTTTCCCCTCCTGATCAGGAAGGGTTTTTCTGTGATTTTTTTTTAATTGCTTTTTAGATTTCTCAGTATGTTACTTTAGCAAGACTTCTGTTCTCTTCCCATAGCGTTGTCCCACAACTCTCTTACTGTCAGCATTCTGCTCTGCTTTAAGAGTGTCTTGTACAAAAGTGTGGTGTATTCCCATTCAAAGTTTTCCTGTTCCTCTGTGTAAGGGGAAGCTTTTGTAAATAGTTTCCCTGTTAGAAAAGCAACAATTGCTTATCTGTTGTCTGTTTTTGTTGCTTCAAATAGACTTTTTTCATTCATCTTTCCTATTAAACTTGACTGCTTTTTTGCCTTGATTTATTTCCTGACAAACTGATGGTGAGGTTAAAAAACATAAATTGGGAGTTGGGGACATTGGGCCTTATCAGTGACCTGACTTCAAATGGGCTTTGGACCAGACTGCGCATCCTAAACACATGCTCCTAAAGAACATGTGCCACCTCTTGATGAGGAAATGGAGTGGTTTGACATAGGAACAGGGTGATCTCTGGTTTATGACCATCTCAGTTCTCTATGTAAAGAGTAACAAATAGCCTTTGTAGGTAAGTAACTTGCCCTTCATTGCTAAAAGTGTAATTTCCTTTGCAAAGCTTCCTGTTCTGATTTTAAGTTTAGGTAAACAAATCATTTGTTTATGTGCTAGGGTAAAGTAGATGTTTCTGTTTTTGGTGGGTTTGGTTGTCTCTGTTCAGTGCTATAAAAGAGATTCTTCTCCAAACTCTGAGACCAACTAAAAGTCTTTTTTTTTTTTATTTTTGTCCCTTTTTGTTTTATTTATTTTTTTTTTTTTTACATGTGCTCAAACTGACCTGCCAGGACAAGGACAAAGTAAGTCTCACCCTCTCTGCCTGTGTTGCCCCCTGGGGCTCTTGCCAGATAGTTCTCTTTTGTTTTTTCCTTTTGTCACCATTTCCTGAGAGGCATTTGCTTCTTCTCCCTCTTTATACCTGCTGTTGGACTGCTACTGTTTGTTTCTGTTCTTGATTTGAGTTTTCCTTTTTTCTCTTTTTATTTCTCCCTTTTTGTATGATTCCTGAATCTCAGTGGAAACTTATTTTTGATTTTGTTTTTTTGATCCTCATTTTTTTGAGTTGCCCTGTTTCACTTCCACTTCCTTTGCCTTATGCTTCTCAGACTGTGAAGCCTTCTATTCCGTTGAAAGTATGCAAGATCCTAACAGGAAAAGCTCAAATGGAGAAAAGAATTTGCCCTTTCTTGTCTATTTTGTTCCCCAGAGTAAATTATGATGATGAGATCTCCGACACTGCTGCAAGACCTTCAGACTAGAACAGTTTAAATGAGAGATTTTCCTATATAATCAGGTTTTTTGAATAGTGCATTGAGAAACACAGGAGAAACTTTCATGCTTTATCTGCTTTGAAATTGTTCCCAAGTGGATGAGCTTTGGAGATTGTTTGCTATCAAGAAGAGCACACACCAGGTTTTGCATTACAGAAGGCTAAACAATGCATTTCAGGCAGAAGTGAGAAGATTTTTCTGCTTAGTATGGAAGAACAGTTGCATTCAGTTTTAAGATGCAGGATTTGCAGTTAGGTGATCTGGAGGATTTTTCTAGGTTATTCCACTGACCTGCAGTCTGACTGAGCAGTTACTTTATCTCTCTGTATCTGGTTCCTCATTTCTGTAGTGAGGATAAAGAAGCAGTGTGTCAGAGAGCCCATGAAGTTCAACTTACGATGAGTGATATTACCGTATCTAAACTGAATTTGAGCATGGAAAACTGCTCAAATGAAGAACCTTTCAGGAAACTAACATTATAAGTAAAAACAGGGCTTTGAGTATTCACTGGAGCCAAAGCCTGTGACTATTAGTCAGGAATCCTGATTACTTTTCACCTTTGTGTGGTAACTTCCTCTGAAGAGCAGCTTCGCTGTTAGTGTCCCTTGGATCTGACCTGGAGAAGTCTATACAAGCTGAGCTGTGCCCTGGCAATCACAGCTCAAAATGCAAGTCTAAATGTTTTGTTTGTAGCATGTAACGCCTGCATGTTTCCTTATCTTCTTCACTTAGCTCTGTCACAAAATACTAATTTTATGTTGCACTGAAGAAATGACCTGTTTGTCCCTTTCTTTTGCAGGCCAGTGAGACGGAGGAGAACGGATCAGACAGTTTCATGCATTCCATGGACCCACAGCTAGAGAGACAAGTGGAAACGATCAGGAACCTGGTGGATTCCTACATGGCGATTGTCAACAAAACCATCAGAGACCTCATGCCGAAGACAATCATGCACCTCATGATAAACAATGTACTTAATCACACTGCGTTTGGTGGAATGGGGAGACTTGGAGAAGGGAAAAGATAGAGGGGGGAAGAAAGAATGAAGAAAAACTAAAGGCAGCTGGAAAGGAGGAGGTGGGGATAGAGTGGAGGTTTCTGGGGGAAGCGGTGGAAACTGACTCCCTCTTCCTGCTCCTTTACAGACCAAGGACTTTATCCATTCGGAGCTGCTGGCAAACCTGTACTCCTGTGGTGACCAAAACACGCTAATGGAGGAATCGGCAGAGCAGGCCCAGCGGCGTGATGAAATGTTGCGCATGTACCATGCCCTGAAGGAGGCCCTCAACATCATTGGGGACATCAACACCAGCACTATCAGCACCCCAATGCCCCCACCGGTGGACGACTCTTGGCTGCAGGTGCAGAGCGTACCATCTGGACGCAGGTACCAGAGGCTCAGGGGGAGAGCCCCACAGACCTGCCTGATGCCTCTTTAGTGGCTAGCTGGGGCCTCCTACTGGGACAAGGAGTCCTTCTCCTCCCCTGCTCTCCCTGAGGATGAAGACTTTTGAAGTTTGCTTTGGGAGGCTTCCAGGCCTTGAAAACTATGCAAGATTGCAACAGTTTTACAGATGATGTGGAGGCTGCTAAACTTTTAGATTAGATGGGGCCTGAAGTAGCTTTGAAAGCAACTTGGGGCCTAGTGTGGCCCCTGGGAAGCCAAAGGGGAGGTGGGTAAAGGGACACAAGACTAAAGAAGGAAGAGTGAAAGCGGCATGTGGGGACCTGATGGTGGCAGAAAGGGATCCCAGGCCTGTTGTTGCAGTTGAACTTTCTCTCTGTTTGTTAGGTCTCCTACATCCAGCCCCACGCCTCAGAGGAGAGCTCCCGCTGTTCCGCCCGCCAGACCGGGATCCCGAGGCCCAGCTCCTGGGCCACCTCCTGCTGGTGGGTCCACGCTGGGTGGTGCCCCCCCTGTGCCCTCCAGGCCAGGTGCCTCTCCTGATCCCTTTGGGCCCCCACCTCAGGTTCCTTCTCGGCCTAACCGTGCTCCTCCTGGTGTTCCCAGGTAAGTTCTGAGAGGCCGCTCTGCAGAGCGGTGGGACGTGTCCAGTTTTGGGGTAGCAGCTCTGGCAGTACTTCACCTGCCTGGCCCTTAGGATGGGAGGACAAGGCTTGGTGTGGGTAAAGTCTTTGGCTGTTGGAATTTGTTAAATAGGCTGGAGCATCGCTGTCCACTGAGATTTCATTGTATAGGTGAGGTGATGCAGAGGCATCACCTCAGGAGTAGAGAGGTGACCTATTCTGCACAAACCTCCACCCAGAAGTTGGGAGAGGAGGACCTTGTGCCTGACAGGTGTATTAAAACAATCATATCAACATCTCGGCTCCCAACTAGGACATGAGTCACCAGAGAATCACAGGACTGGAGTGAACGTGCACCTTTCAAGGCAGTTCTCCTCTGTGTAGGTGTGTAGGGAGTCCCAAAGTCTGAAGTTGCCCTCTTCTCCTGATGCAGGGTGTTTCAGGGTGAGTTAGAGCGGCCTTCATCTAGGCTGTCTAGATACTTTTTGGCTAGGAGAATATTGCAAGATCGCTGGTGGGGGGAAATGGAATTTTACTTTTTGTGTGTCAATATGTTTATTGCTTCTGCAATCAACTTGAGCACGTTTTACAGCCTAGAGGCTTCAAATGACGCAGCTTTACTTTCCCATTAGGAAACTTAATCCCCTTCCTATTCAGGGGAACACTTTATACGCACTTCAGCAGAGTAGTAAGGGACTATACGCTGTGCAGCTTTGCACGTTTTCCTAAAGAGGACTTAGGAAGTGATCTGCAACCAGGAATGTTTTCACGTTGGGTAGTTGATCTCCCCGTGAGGAAGAGGAAGTAATGGCAGAGTAAAGAATGAACGTAACCAGAAACTCCCAAATTACACGCCTATGGAGACATTTCCCTTATGGGAAAGAAGTGCTCTCCAGTGGGTGCCGGTGGCATGTGTCTGATGAAGCTTTTCCCTTTTCTGTGAAAACACTCAGACTGCCCTGGGTGGTGATGGTGTATGGCGGAGGCTGTTTTTGGCCTTCCTGCTGTAATAGTGCCCCAGCTCATACCAGGCACTGCCTGTTTGAAGAGGAAGTCTTCTCTGCCAGGCTGTATCCAGCCCAGAAGTAGATGAGTCCAAAGAGATTGTAGACCAGTTTTTGACTCTGGTGTGTGCAAATGGTTTTACTTTCTTGGTGCCTCTGCCCCAGTCTTCCCTCTGTGCCTTGGTGCAGCTCCCACGATAACCTATCCATATTTGCCTCTGTTGCCCCAGACACTGCAATCCTGCTGGTGGCACCTGTGGATGTCAGCATGCTTCTGCTGTGTATTTTTGACTCTTGCTTATTGTGACCCTGCTTTCCCATATACTGTTAATATCTTTGTTTTTAGTGTATTTCTTGCACTTCTTTCTGTCTCCATCTTTCCCCTCTCACCCAGTTTCATTTTTTTCATTCATGAAAAATATTCTATATACCTGGTTGTCATGATAGGATTTTCCAAGTGGGCTGAACTGAATTGACCTTTTTTGAAGAAGTCTGTTATAGTCTACCTTAATGGCTTTTCTGGCTGATCCCTTTTTCTTGGAGTAGAAAGGTTTAGATGAAGGATAGGAACCATAGTGGAGTAGAGGAAGGAACTGTTTCATATTTAAATGAGCAAGCCCTTCCTTTAGAAGGAGAGATGGTAGGTTGGACTGCATGCTGCTGACTGCCTTGGTCTGGAACTGAGGAAGTAATGGCAGAGTCTGTGAAGTGAAGTTTTCATGCTCGTTCTCTGATTCCCGTCTTTGATTCTTCCAGTTGTTCATAGACTCCTCCGGATCCTGATACGCAGTTTTTCATTCGAGTTCGATGATGAACTGAGAAATTCCAATGACAAGGGACTCTTTTTCTTCCTCTCCTGTATATAGAATAAGAACGTTCCCTACTAGCACTTGGACTCGGGTCCTTCTGCCATGGGTGAACAAATGCCATCTCCATTGTTGCTTTTTTTTAATACCCATCGTTTCTGTTGCTAACTGGACTACGTACGCTACTTTGCTTGAGCGTGAAATGGAGCTCTCATAGATGGTGTGAGTGGGCTTAACTATAGGAGTTGGTGCTGTAAGATAGTGAACTACAGGTGTGTGGTGGTGCTGGGTGTACTTCTGCATGCCTCTGCACGCTGATGTTAACAACATAAAAGTATGGTGTATGTTTGTGCCTCCAGTTTGTGTGAGCATATGATTTTATGTATGATGAACTGAAAGACCGAGTTGCTTTGCTTCTTTCTCATAAACATGATTGTAAAGACGCATGCATATATGCTTTCACATACAAACACCACATGGCCCGTTCCTTTCACAGGAAGGTTTTCCTGAGTATAACTAGGTACAGCTAAAAGAGATCTTGCCCCGACTCCACGTATAACAGTCTTTCAGTCTACTACAGGAGCCTGTGTCACCAAACATAGGTACCTTTAGGAGCTGACGTTTAGAAGCAACATAAGAGCCTGCTTGCGTGCAAGGACTGTGTTCTGACTGTATACCTGCTGGGGGCTGTGCATGATGTTTCAGTCTGGGAAAGAAAGCCATGTTCAGTCAACTTAATGGGAGAACAAACTATTGTAGCAAGTCAACGTGGTTTATGTAGGTGGATTTAAGCTTTTGTACAACACTAAATCAACAAATTCACTACACTAACCAAATCAACACTACACAGTTTCAGGAAAGTACACGTTAAATGATTCAGGAGTGGTGAAGTGAGAAACTTCAAAGCAGTGAGGAATCCTTCTCCATGGAGAAAACCTATGATGATGTTCCTCCAAGGTTAATAGTAATGCTCATGGTATTGCCCGCTTGCTAGGGATCTAAGTGAAAATGAAATACCTACCAAGGGAAAGCGGAATGAGCCATGACAAGGGTACACAAATAATATAAGCTGATCGGGACCACTTAAACTCTACTTAAAACCTGTTTTCTCTGAATGAGTCAATCATATGAAGGGAAATATGTGAGAGGAAGAGGAGGAGGATAGTGGCAATTATTACAAAATATCTCAGCAAGCAGTTACTTTGGAAAGAGGTTCAAGAGTTGAAGCAAGTGTGCAACTGAACATGGGCTGCCAGTGTGATGCCCTGGCAAAAAGGGATCAATGGAATCTTTTCTATAATCAAGCAAGGAGTGATGGATTATATAGGTGATATTTTAATACTTTACCCATTTCTGTAGTCAACACTTTCTGAAAGGACCCAGAGGAAAGTGATTCAGACAGTGAGATCTGGAATCCTTTTTCCAAGGAAGGTCAGCAAGTGATTTGAAAAAATACTTTACCCCGTGAAGATGTACCTGCAGGTACCGATGGTCTCTTTAGTTTAAAATAAACAAAAGCTAATAAGTGAAAAAGCTTAAGCAGGTTAAAATGAGGAATAGAACAGTTCTAGTGAGAATGACTTCACCATTGGAGAAGCTTCCTGAAGGCACTAGCAGGTTCTCCGTCCTTTGGAGAAGGAAGAAAGGCCTAAGTGATCGGCATCACCACAAGGGTAACTTCACACAGTTTTATGACTTGAGTTTTTCAGGAGGTTAGAGTAGCTGATATCATGATTCATGGCCTCTAAAATATAGATCTCCTCCTGTTTCTTCCCTTCTTGAGTGGTACTCTTAGGCTCAGGACAGCACATTATCTCCCTCTTCCTGAGCTGTTTGTTTCAACTCCCTAATATTTAATATCGTCAAAAGATGGGAATCCTCGGTAAGAGACTGTCAGCCTCGCTTGCCCCCAGCCTAGGTGCTGAGGCCGAGGTATCCTGCTGCTCGAGCAGGTGTGAATGTATTTGGGGTCTCTGTCAGCCTGGGTGTGTGAATGCACTTGGTGCGTATCCGGCTGTGCGGGAGAGCGAGGAACAGCCAGCGGGTGCGTGAATAGACTGAGGACTTTGAATGTGGCCCTGTGTGCAATGCAGCGGGGTTCGGGATGCATGCGAAGATGAGGCTGTGAATCACATGTGTGCGAGAGTCCAGCGTGGCTGAGTGCAGCCCTGCCCAGCAGAGCATGCTTGTGCCCAGGTCTGGGGCAGGGGGGTGTGCGAGTGTGGCTCTGTCTGTGCAAGCGCACGCCTGTCTCTGTTCCACCTTCCTGACAGTCATTCTGCGTGGCCTCTGCCTTGAACTGTCTGAACTGCCATGTTGATTTCGTGTTGTCTTTCAGAATCACTATCAGTGACCCCTGAGGACTGGCGGCCACGGTACGTTCTGCACTCTCCCCGCAATGCATGAGTCAGTGTGTCCCCATCCGCCGTCACTCTTGCTCTGCAGCTCACCTCTGCTGCCTAGCTCCTGTACTAGTAACAGAGTCCCTTGTCCAAAGAACCACCTCTGCCAGGATCTCATAAAGGGAGGAGTCTTGAACAGAAAAGCTGGCTGATCAGAGAGAGAGCAGCTGCTGGAGCTGCAGGGAGCTGGAAGAGCCTCAGCCACTGATTTAAGGTCATTAGAAGAACACTCCTCTGCCCGCAGGTAGCGGAGTGGGGCTGGGGGAGCGAGTTCTGGGACAAGGTCTAAACAGCACACGTCCTTCATTTGGCTTAAATCCATGCTGACTGGGAGATGGACTGAATGAACTCAAATTTTGGCCTGGTTTCCATCCATCGGCTCGGTTAGCCTTGAGATATAGACAGTTGGGGAGCTATTAGTCCAGACTCCTTTTCTTATATTCCAGCATCTGCCTGGAGAAATGCTCCCTTCCTCGCTGTTTCCCTGGTGCTCACGGAAGGCAGGGGGAGTTTGGGTCATTAATGTGGTACAGAGTGACTCTGCTCTCACATTGAATGTTCCCTGTTAATCCTGGTTTTCCATCCTCACAGTTAGAAGCAAACTTCCTTTGTTCGTTCTCCTCTTGGCCCTTTTCCTTCTCAGTTTTTCTTCTGCTTCCATTCGGACCCCCTTCCTCCTCAGCCTCCCCCCTCTGGGCGAGGAAGTGGTTAGTGACCCACATCCCCCAAGCCCTTTGCCCTGGGTTCCTGCCTGTTTTCCCTTTCCTGTCTCAGCCTGCGTTTTGCAGTGTTGTACTTGTTCAGCAACATGGCAAGGGATTGGGGCAGGCTCCTGTGTGGTGTGCTGGCCCACAGCTCTTCCATGTCCTGTTCACGGTGGGGGGGAGAAGGGTGGGGGTGTGAAGAGTGAGGTCTGGCAGCTTCCCCTGAGCCCTTTTGCTGGGCACCTCCAGCCCTTACTGACAAAGGGGGAGAGAGGGTGGCACGGGGTGGTTGCGGGCCAGTTTCGGGCCAGCTCTCCCTGTCTGCGTGGATGCTGTTTCTCCAAGTGAGTGGTCTGACTCTGAGCAGAGGAGCAGCCGCAGCTCCTGCTGCTGCTGGTGACGGCCGGCAGAGCTGGAGGAGTGCGTGCTGAAGTCAGTACCTGAACAGGAATGGCGCAGGTTCAACCCCCACCCCGTGTCAGGCTAGGGCTTCACAGCTACCAGCGAACCTGCCAGTTCACAGCTAGACCCTGTCTTACGGCAAGTGGTGACTGTTACTGCTGCATGTAACTGCTGTTAAGGCTGAGAGGTGCCACATCGCATCAGCCCAATGCAGTGATTGTTCAGTGATTGACATGCTGTTTGGGCACGTCCTCTGTCAGCCCTCTTCGCTGATGACATACTGCAGAGGTGTTGGAGCAATCAGAAATTTCCTCCAATCCTCTGCCTGCTGCAGACATCCCTGGCAGTCCTGGAAACGTGCATCTTGGTGAGAAACCTCAGAAAAGAGGTTTGCTGTTTTCCATACCTTGTTCTGGGACTCGCTGTTATGGGGCATTTTCTGCTCTTAATCTGGCATAAAGAGCACCAAGGAAATAAAAAGATGATGATGATAAAAATAATAACCTTTGAACAGTAGGCTTCTGCAGCTCAAGGGAATCAACGTAGTCTTTTTGCAGTCTTGGTTAAGTCCTCATCAGCAGAAGCTATGATTACCCCATTGCTTCCTAGAAGTGACCAGGTCATCGTTCTAGTTTGGGTATGGTTTGAAAGACTGGCTTAAAGAGAAGTGGCAGTCGGTGTAACTGGTCTCCTCAGCCTCATGCCAGGAATTAGGTTTTGTTTCCCTTGTGCTGGAGACTGCCACAGGCTTCCCAGGGGACAGGATTTTGTTCCTTGTTGTCCTCATACAGAGTTAAGTGACCTCAGTGGATGAGGGCCTGGCTAGCAGCATAGTAAGACAAACTGAAACAGTACATTGGGGTAATGTTGCCTCTTTGAGACATTCTCTTCATCCCTTTCTGTGCTGGGGAAATCGTTCTCAGCCTCCTATAACCTTATCGGCCAGATCCTCCAAAGAACTCGAGAAATCCTCCAGAGACCTTGAGCAGAGAGAGAAAAATCTGTAACTTTAAAAACTGGCAACCCCAAATCCCTGAGTGATGAGAAGAACAAGCGTATCTGTGCAAAGCCATCATAGTGCATTACAAAAAAGCAAGATATCTGTCTGGAAACTATTTCTGCTTTTCTTTCAGCCCGAATTTATTCCGGTAGGGTCAAGCGGCCTCTCTTGCCAGAGCATATTATGTAGTGCAGTGACTTCAAGCTTTCCATTTAAATCCAGAGAGACTGTCAGGGCAACCTCTCCAAACTCCTGAAATGCAAAAAGCCCCTTCAGCTTCTTGAGAAACACCTTCCAACTCTCATGACAGTGCGGGAGTGCCTTACTAAAGGTCAAACCCATATACTGCTGAAGTTTGTAGGATTCGTTCCAGTGACGGTAGCAGTCGTTAGATGGCTACTTGGCTGCTGCAACGCCATGAGCCCCCTTGAGGAATAGTGCAAGGATCCCACATGTGTCATGAAGCCCAAGGTCACAGGTTTCCCCAAGCTATAACACTTGTTGCAAATTTTTCTTCTGGGTGATAGTGTTATTTCAGTATCCTTCCAAGATGGTTGTAGTTTTCAAGTTGGCTTAATCCCGTCATTATTTGCTTGACTGGAAGAGTAATTTGTGAATGACAAGCTGACAGTGCGGTCTTACGGTCCCCATTACGCTTGCACTTACAGTCAAGGAAAAAATGTTTGGGAGTGTTTTCTACTTTCTAGAGCTTTTAAAACGTATCCTTACGCAAGGCCAGGAAGAAATAGTTGTGATTGTTTTGGTTGAGATCTGGGGCTTAATAGATATGGAGCAATACATTCTGCTGAAGTCTGATAAGAAGGACTACAGAGTTGCTCTCTAGAGTTGTTCATTTGCCAAGATGAGGAAGCTTTCACTACTACTTAGGATTATAGCTCCTCTGGTACCAGCATCATTATGGACTTGCTGTCAGTGTGAAACAAGACTTTGCTACTTTAGAAGATGCACTAGTGAAAATACCGTCCTCTTCCCCCTCTATTTCCCCACAGCCACCTTCACCCCTCAAAAATCTTATACTGGGAGGTCCTTCATTTCCAGTAGTCAGTTGATTCTCTGTAATCTAAGTTAGGGTAAAGCTTGCCAGCGTGGAATTGTTGAGGCGTTAATCCTGTACCTCTTGATTCTGTTTGCTCAGTACAGATTCTTCTCCTCTGTTTGGTCCGCATCCTGTTCTGTTTGCTCTTTGCATTTCAGGCAGTTTGGACTGTGAAACTACTCTGACTTTGTGCTGAGCAATTTAATTTGTCACTTAGGCTACGCTATCGCAATGCTGTTTGCTTTGCAGAGACTGCAGGGAGCGTACTCTGAAGGAAAAATGTAGACTGGGCTTGCTGACTTCCAGAACGCTCCTCGATTATGCGTAGACTTCCTTAAAGCTTGTATTCTGAGTCTGAAGTAGTCTTTCAAGTAATGAGTTGAGAGAGGCAGCAGGGTTTTTGTCCTTGTCTTTTTCCAGGTTTTTGGTTTTTGCCAGTCCCTTACAGGAAGAGATCCTGGGACACTTAAGTGTTTGCCCTCTGCATGGATTAAATTGCTGCCCATTTACCTAGCTAAAATACTAGCGTTGGAGAGCTGCAGTGCAACTGAATTGCAATGGCCAAAGTCCTCTTAAAGTCAGTGGAAGCTGTATTTGCTGGGCCCCAGAACCAGGGAACTGAAAGCAGCAAGTTTGACCCTGATATCAAAGAGGGGTATCGTGTATTGCAGTAGGAAACGTAAGGCCTACAGGAAGAAGGTGCTTCTCCAAACCAGCCAGGAACCGCCGACAGCGCCTCTCAGAGGACCCCATCCATGCTGTGTGACTGTCATGTGCTTGATACAGGAGCTCACTGTTGTCCGTGCTTCTCAACTCTCATTCCAGAGCCAGTTCAGTCACTGGCAATAGATCTCTGATTTCCAAATTTGTAGAAGGAAAGCAGAACCAGCTGTGCAGCAGATTCCTTTACTGGTGATCTGTGCTGTTCAGAAAGTCCCGTGCGAGGCCTAATGTAAAGCTGCAAGTCTCCTCTGTGGAGTGGCACTGTTGTGGTACTTTGGTGCCCCAGCTGGGTTTTTTCTCTTTGCTGGCTCGGGTGAGGTGGAGAAGCATGCGTGATTGTGACTGCGACTGCTGTGCTAACCACAGTGTGTGTTCTCTTGTTTTTGTTTTCTGCTTTTTCACAGCAGAAGGGGCCCTGCCTCACCTACTCGACCTACCATAATCCGACCGGCTGAACCGTCCCTCTTAGATTTATAACTCGAGGCTGCAGACAGCTGGCGACGAATGCCGTGCTGGCGGCTTCCCCATTCCACCCTCCCTTGCACAGCCACAGTCACTCCTCTCATCCATCCCACATCTCTGCCTCCCACCGCCCCTTCCTGGTGTGTCGTGAAACACTAGCCTAGTGATCGAGCTCTTCGTCTTCACTCGTGCGTCCTGTATTGCTTTGTGAGTGTAGAGTAGCCTTCATTCAGTGGCATGGATCCCTGAAGTGCACAGGCTCCTTGGAGAGATCAGCTGCAGGGACGCCCTTAAGTCCAAGTGGCGACTGTCCATCCAGTTGTTTCATCTGCCTGGTCTAGCCCGGATAAGTGTCCTGCCTGCATCAGTTAGCTGTAGCACCTAGGACTGATCTGTAGCTCTGTAGCTATTTTCTTTTCTTGTAGTTAAGAAGACAAAAGCGTGACATAGAAGAAAAAAATAACGCTGTCGAAACACGTGACACTGTTAGGAACAGATTACATGTCCTGTGTATTAGATGACTTCTAAGGTGCAAAAACTCATGTTGGGAACAGTGCAATCAACTTTCTCTCAAAGCGAGGCAGGGAGATGGAGAAGGGGGGAACCCGATGGATCGGCATGGTCCTGCTAGAGTGAAGCCTGAGCTAGCGCACACACCTCAGTGCAGGGAGCACGTGGACCTGCTCGCGCCCAGCGCTCCAGAATAGCTGAGGAAATACTGCTGGCGAACCGCTGGCTGCTGCCAGCGTTTGTCTTGCATCATCTCTTGTGGCTGACTTCCCTGAACCCAGCAGGGAGAGGGGAATAGGTACGCTGCTCCCCCCTTGCAAACGGACAACCAAATGTTTTCAGGGAGTTTGCTGTGTGATGTCTCATTGAAAATATTTCTGCTTTGAATAAGCACATCTTTCAGTGTTTTTTGGGTACTGTGGTGACTTCGTAGCCTTTTCTTCTTGCATGTGGATGGTACGTGTTTGGGGAAACTTGTAACCGTTGTTGATCACAACTCATCTTCTGAAGGTTTGGGTTTTACTTTTCATGTTACATGTATTAACAAAAATAATAATAATTAAGAATTAAAAAACTGCCAGCCCTGTACGTTTCAGATGTTACATCTCTGGTAGAGCTAAATGAGCCACCTGTGTTACAGGCTTTCAAACGGGCCTGATTCAGTTTTAAGTTATCTTATTGCAGTGCTGTTGCCTTTGACTTCTGTTCTGGATCCTCGATTGTTCTGATGCCAGTTTCTTTCTGTATTTTAACTACTGTTTTACTACTTCTTCCCCCTCTTCCTTCCCCTTCTCCTTTTCTTTTTTTCTTTTTCCTTTTTTTGTCTTCGAATTCCAGCCGGCCGGGTAAGGCCAGTCCCTCCCGCCCGGAGAGTCCAAAACCACCATTTGACATGTAGGCCTGCTCCCTCTGAGACTCTTTGCCTGCCTCTTAGCTGTTCTGTCCTGGAACGGTCTGACTCGAATCTCATACATGGCTTGTTTTGTTTGTATTTTGTGACACACTCTCACACACACATACATACATACACATATCAGATGTGACTGTAGTGAAACTGTTTGTTTTTTTTTTCTCCCAGCTGCTTAAAGGAGTTAAAACAAGTATATTGTAGTAATGAGAAACATATCTTTACTGTTATAAATATCTATAAATATATATATAAGATCAAAAATCTATATATGTCCAGGTGTTTAAAGCCATTTGTGCTTCCGTGTGGATTTTAGGAAATACGTAAGTAG